CCACCAGTAAAACCATGTGATTAAAATCACTGCTACAGAACTACCTTCTTTATCATCAGTGCAGTCGACCAAAGACTGTTGTCTGTAAGCATGGGGGTTAGCCACATCTGGAGCAAAAACAAGACCTATTCCAACCAGGTGAATCCTTCTTCTCTTAGAACAGTAGCAAAATGTAGATGCAGAAACCTCCAGTCATATAGATCCTTTAATGGCTTTATTGTTGACTTTTACTTCATTGGCATTTTACAGCTTCAGTTCCATGTCTCCAACTGTCATCTCCCTGTCTGCACTTGAATACCCCGTAGGCAACCGCAGCTGCACACACCCAAAGCTGACCTGCCTGTCCCTCACCCTGCTCCGTCCCTGTCCCCACTGCTCACTGAGCTGCACTCCAAGGATCTCTTGCTTCCAGCCTTTGCTCTCGGACTCTTCTCGGTGTGGAGCCTGTCCTCCCTTACCCAGCCCCATCTCTCTGATTCCCCATAACTCATCTTTCTTCTCAGGCTCTAAGCAAGGGACAGCACAGACTTTTGTCTATTTTGACCATCCCCTAAGCCAAGCACAGAGCCTGCACATAGTAGGTTCCAAGTCCAGTGCCTGCACATAGTGGATTGTTCTGAGGGACCGCTATACTCATCCAGCTGTTAGTTCTCTTTCTATCAAGTAAAAAGCTGGACCACTCTGGGGTACCTGTGAATTTCAGCATCTTCCTTTTGTTTTACTTCCCGCTCCAGTCATATCCATGAGCTTGTTCCGTGCTTGACCCAGTTACCGTAAGGGCATTTCATTTCCTCTTTGATTTCCCTTCAATAACAGATTGTGACTTGTAATTCATTTAGCATACATTGAAACCTGAATATCTACTGATTATGGTTCCAAGCACCAAGCTTATTACAATAAAGACAGAGAAAAGATGTCATCTCTTGAGGAGAGCCCGGAAAATTACTATTTCTGGCAGAAAATTTGTTTTGTCTCATAGACTTGAGCTTCAGAGTCATTCATGAATGAGTAATGAACTCAAGAAAGATCAATGAAGCATTCTCTTAACCCTCTCAACTGATTTTACTGAGAACTGAGTAACAGGAAAGTTCCAAGGGAGAGATGACGAGGGATTTAGAAAAAGAAATGGCTGCTGTGACATACGACTCTTGAAGGAATGAAATTGGGTGATTCATCTAGTTTACAGTGAGTCATTTCTCAGGCTTCAACCTTGAGTCACCGAAGTTATTTTTTTCTTGGCTATTTAGTTCCAATGTTTATTTCTTTTATTATTTTCCAGCAGTAAAATAAAATAGCATTCAAAAACCAAATTTTTTTAGAAAGAGAAGGCAGAAAAATATCTTGGTGGTCTTTCCTTGGCATCTGACATACAATTTTAATCAAATGCCATAGTTTTTTTTTTTTCTTAAAGGAATTATTTTAAAATGTTTAACATATTTTCATCTGCTTTCTTAGTGGATGACGTATTGTCCTCTATAAAGTTTTTAATGGTGTAGAGGAACTGCAAATTAAATAGCACAGTCAAAATCCGGCATGAAACAAAAAGCAGTGCAGGTACCACACTGCTGAGTGTGTGGTGACACATTGTGTGGCCAGATTGGGGAAGTGGAAAATCACAAAGACTTTGCTTGGTAGCTGGTGGGCAATGGGTCTCTGAGTCCCCATGGAGTTCCTGGTCCCAGCATCGCATGGACCTGACAAAGGAAAGCAGCCCTGAATCCCTTCTCAGAGCCAGCTCGTGTTAGCAATGTCACCAGCATCAGTGCTGCAGAGTTGTTCCGGGTGGCCGCTGTGCCATCCCCTGGGGTACATCATTCCGAGGCCCCACCCCTGGTGGTTGAGCTGCAGAGATTTTGGATTTTGTCCATTTGTTTTGCTTTTGCCTTTTAAATCATTTTCTCGACCAGTCCACATCATATGCACTGTTTCCCTATCATAAAAGTCAGCAGGAAAAATATTTGAAGGCAGCAAAAAGTCAATAGACTCAGCCTGCCCTGGTCTATTTCCATGGCTAGGGGGAAACTCAGATGCCTTGCTGAAGGTTTTTATTGAACTTTTAGTGGAATCTCTTATGAGAGATTATGATTTCTTTTATCACAGGAAGAGCCCGCCTCCCGTGCCTCCTGCTAAGATGATGTAAAGAGCCCATGCTAACAATACGTCCCGCCGTCCTTTGCGGGCATTCTCTTTACTACTGCTGTATTCAACCAGAGTCAAAACCAGAGAGTTAAAGTTCTTTTCAAGTGTCACTACCAAAAGCAAAATCTGTCTTGCTGAGTAAGAGGAGAACCCTTTAGAGGGCAAGCCTGTAAACAACAACGGCCACCTGTCACCTGCTGGGTGCATTCAATGAGTGCACCCCTGGGCTGGCTCTGAGAGAGACACAAGCACTCTGAGGGAACCCTGAGCTACCTGCTCAGCTTCTCTCCCCTTTCCCTCTGCCCCAGGTGTCCTCATCGAGATCTGCAGACCACTCCTTTCCCTCTTGAACTAATTCTGTGACACTGGAGCCTGAACTCACTGGGACTTAGAGAACAGGGACAGGGAATAGGAATGCCTCTGTTGCCCACAGTCTCCCGGACATTGGCTGACTGGCTCCTTCCGTGTCCCATCCAGAGCGGGGAAGGGCAGTTTGGAGACTGAGACACAAGTAGAGGGCTGCACTCAAGCTCCATAATAAATGAGTGCTGAAGCCTATCCCAGAAGTATACTCCTAATCCCAAGTCCACACATTTGACATGGAACAGCGTAGACACCCCACGCAGTTTCATGGGTCCCCCAGTTGAGAACCACTACCAGAGGCTGGGCAGGCCCTTACTTTAGGATTTAGCCCGGTACCATCGATGTGTCTTCTCTCTGACTACATCCCTCCTTGTCTTTAAAAATGCTTACTTGGATGTCCATGGGAAGGATTCCATGGTGCTTCCATTGATTTGACCTTTATTCAGCAGCACTCACTGAGCACCTGCTCACAGTTCCAGGCTCTGCTGGAGGAGCTACAGGTCCCACCTGACTATAAATTAGCGCTCATGCCTGCCCTGCCCCTGCTCCACCTTAATCTTTCCATGTTCGTGTTGTCTCAAATCACCGCTGGCTCTCTACTCTGCTAGAGCCTGAGCTTTTCTACAATAGTGACTCCTCCAACTTTTATTTTCATTCTTCCTGGAGCCCAAGACAATGATCTCCACATAGTAGGAATTCAGTAAATGCTGGACGAGGTGACCAATCCAACAACGTGAAACTGTGAAGAATATATTTGACTCTACAACTGGGATATTGGTTCACTTGCATCATTTTCTAATTTGAACATCCTGTCTGCAAGTTGTGATCAAAGCCTACAGCAGATGTTTAAATCTTTTAAAATGTTATGACACTAAAAGTACGTTGCCTTTATTCCCCTTCAGAATCCTTCCCGTCACTGTGAACATGCCTATCCCATCGTCCTTGCCACTTCCTGAAGCAGTTCTACAAGTCCTCTTTCGTGAGTGTCTTTAGCTGTGCTGTCATGTCTGCCTCAGCATCCTCAATCAGTTCAAAACATTTTCCTTTCATGGTCATTTTGACTTTGGGGAAGAGCCAGAAGTCACACATTACCTAATTTTATTTGACAGAAGTTGTGTAAATATCTTCCATTGATTTAAGACATTGAAACAGCGCAGAAAGACACTTACAAAAGAGGACTTCCAGAACTGCTTCAGGAAATGGCAAAAACAGTGGGATAGCTATATTTGAAGTGAGGGAAATAGTTTGAGAGGGATTCATGGCAGTATGTCTTTTACTTTAATTTTTTAATTTAAACATTCACTATATTTTTGGTTCACACGTGTATCTTCTCTGTTGTACAAATGTGATGAGGGAACAGCCTACAGAGTATTTTGGGGTCCATGGTGAACAGTAGGCTGGACATACATACCTTGCAAGGTGCAGTGGACCATGTGCTTACCCCTTATTTCCTGGAACACCCTGAGGGGACCTCTGTCTTCAGGCTATGCTCTGGCCACCTCTCGGTCGTGGCTTCTGAGACAGAAAACACAGAGTACCCTTGCCTCCCTCACCCCCGAGCACTCGGGGATAGGAGGCAGATGAGTGAGAAGTGCAATAGGCAACAGAAAGGGAATGAGTACAAAACTGGGAGAATATGATGCAGAAGGAGGGAGGATTCTCATTTTCTTTCTTCTTTTAGTTTTTTGTTGGTACAGAAAATTTTAATACACACACAGCTCCACACATCTCATCACTAGAATAAGTGGAAAAATTAAAACAATACTTTTTTGCTCCTTTCACATACAAAAGTGGTGAGAATTGCATAATAACCCTGCAATGAGCTCATCACCTAAATTAACAGGCTTCAACCCAAGGCCCGCTTGTTTCACAAACGTGCCCCCCTCCCACTGTGTCGTTCATTCTACGGCAAGTCCCAACATCACGTAGCACTATCTGTCAATATTTCACCATGATAAATCTTTAAAAGGCGCTTTTTAAAAATTGTCACAATATCATTACTGTGCCTTAAAAAACATCAATAATCTCCTAGTGTCTTCAGATTTCCAGTCTGTGTTCTGTTTCCCAGCTGTGGAGGCATCTTCAATAAATCTCAAAAACAAGTCAAACATTGCATCTTCCTTGGGAAGGAAGAGACACAGGAACCAAAACTGATCTTTTTCTACAGGAAGGAGAAAACAACAGGGAGATAATTTCAGGGAATAAGGACAAAACGGGACCTGGACATTCTTTGGAAACCACGTTCAGGCTCACTAAGGTGGAGTCTGGCACCTGCCGAGGTCTCCCCCTAGCGGTGGGTGGACATTGCCACGGGGTCCCTCAACTCTTCCAGAACCTTGGTTTCATCACAAGACCGGGTCTTACTGCCCCGTACTGCAGGTAGTTTACAACTTGGCCACACGACAAAAATGTGTGTAACACGAGTTTTTCTAAGTGTTGATTGAACACGTAATTTAAAAGTCAGAATATTAAATAAACATCTCTGCCCTTTCTTCCAGCAGGCCGCCCAGAGAACAGCTCTCCGAACGCTATCTGACAGGTACATTTTGTCATTTTTATGAACTATAAATTGCTTTATGAAACATTGAGCCCTATTTATTGTGGCATATAATTCATAATCGGATTTTGTCCCTAAAGTATCTGCGAACCGGGATGTTAAACATTTTGCATGCTTGGGTTTGTCATGCATGTGTGGAGTTTATTACTGCAAAACTCTCCTTGTTGTATTTCACATAAAGTACGAAGAATCCCTCGTTGGGCAATGAAACAAGAGACAAGAAACTTAGGGGGAAAGGCCTGAATGGTGCAGTAAATTCTGAACTTTGGAATTGGCTGAGCTCTAAGCTCATTTTTCAGCAATAAGTCCTTCATTTATTCGAGATGCCTTCTTCACTCTTGCCCTATCATTTCACCAGCGGCAGTCTGTCTTTTGATGGGATTCTCCTTTCAAAGACTTTATTCATGTAACTCAGCAACTCGTGGTCCTGGCCTCCTAACTCCTTCCTCCCTGTGTCTCTGGCCTGTTGCTCCTGACCTGTGTTGTTGAATGGGACATGCAAGCCTGACCAAAGCCGTGAACTGTAATTCAGACCCCGCTTTGCCTACGAGGCTGCAGAAAGTGTGTGTGTTGAAGATCAGGAGGCAAAGGTGAAGCCCCTACAAAGCACCCCAAGGGAAGTGCTGACAGTGTGAGGGACCCCAGCATCATCTAACCTTCACCCCTTCCTTCCTTCCTGCTTCCTCTCTTTTGTAGAATGAGCGATCCCTGGCCGTGTTAACCAGCTCAGTTCAGCGCTTTTCTAGGGTAAAACCTGTCACTTAGACAAATTTTCTGGTGTGCATGGGTGAAAAGCCTTTCCTGTACAGTGGCAGGCTGCACCTGAGCATGTTTATTTCTCCTGCAAAGTCTTCCCACGACAACCACACCAGCCCGCACGTTCGGCGCGCGGTGGGCACGTGATCCAGAATTGCTTCTGGGATTTTCTGAAAAGTTGATAACTGTTCTGCTCCTAAGTCTGTGGGTAGAAGGCAGAGAGGCTCTGGATCAAAACTTGTTTAAAATATGACACAGTAATTCTTCTCCTAGACATATTTCCTTCTTCTTTTGACTTCTCTCAAGTAAGGGAGTCCTTCAAGAAGATGCACGGCGAAGCAAGAGAAAGCCCTCTGTTTATAACACTTTGTCCTTCTAACAAATACAAGGTTTCTTTTCAGGGCAAAAGAAATGTTATAAAATTAGATTATGGTGAGATTTTCACCTTTTAGTATATTAAGGGGACCGTTAATATACTAAAAACTACTGAACTGCACCTTTTAATGGGATGCGCATCATAGTATGTAAATTATATTTTAATGAAGCTGCATACATGCCCTCACAGTGTTATTGTGACTTTTGATGGCGAACCAAAACCTATTTTAGGAAAATATGGACTCCCTTTAAAGGCATGTGTCCCTTTAAAGGCACGTGCAAAAATACTTCATCAGAAAGTACAATTGATGTATTCAAAGGCTTCCTCCCAAATGATACAAGACTTAGTCCCGGGTAGAAAATGTGTATGGTTTTAATAATGAGAGTGCTGTTCCCTTGACCCTTTATGGATGTTCTCGCTAAAATCCCTTGCTAAACCCATTTCCTGGCTAGAAACAGACTTTACTAATTGGTACTACTTTTCTTACAAATTTCTCTACTCTTGAATATAATAAGTCATGGTCCCTTCTTCCATCCAACAGATTTTCTGCTCGAAATTGGGGCAGTTTGGCTCATTTCAAATGAATGATTTTGTCCACCATGCTAGTTACGGGAAGCTAGCTTCCCTGCACTTTTTCTCCTCTGTTTCCTACAAATACAAGCCCACAGATGTAATTCCCATAAGGGTTAGCATTTTTAGTCATTTGGAAATACAACTCAAGCTCCCTCTTCAAAGTAAGGGCTCAAAAACGCCGACTAGATTCATCAGATTCATGTTTTAGTTCTTTCAAATAAACCAATATTTTCTAGAAAAATGAGTCGTGTGGCTGGGGGTCAGGCCACTGAATGACTTGCCTGATGTTTTGTCTGTCACAGAAACCTCAGGGAAGGAGTGGAATCAAGTAAAACCCCTCTTAGGCCATGGCCTTCCTGAGGCAGGGCTCTAGCCCTTGTTTTAATCTTTTATACATTCATTCACACAAACTATTCTGGTTCAGGAAGCTATTGTTAGTTCAGACTATTATCACCTATTTCTATAAAATGCCATAGTGATTAGGTAGCACTTTCATTTTTGTCATAGAAAAAAGAAAAAAGCATTTTTCAGACCTCAAAATGTGCCTGATGAATTCTGTGATCCTGGAACTGAGCAGGAAAGACCTCCATTGACTGGAGCCGTGCTGGGGTCTCCTTGCCCCCTTCCGAGCCTCAGGGTCCTGCACTTTTCCTCCCCATCTCACAGGCCCATTTCACTTTCATTTCTCCTGAATACCCATGAATGAGTGCAAAGGCTTTGATACAGAGGCGTGCCCTTGTGATTCCAGATGTGCACCTGAAAGATGAAATACAGTTGCACTGGCTGTGTTGATGGGTGGCTGTGAGCTTCTAGGATAAAGGTCATTCATGGTTTTGCTATAAGGAAACCTGCCCTCGAGCCTGGAGACCTGACCCAGAGAAACAGCCAGCAGGAAAAGGAAAGGGATGTGTTTCCGTCCTCTTCCGCGTGTAGAGAGGACTCATCTCTGGGGTGTGGGAGGACAGAGCGTGTCCAGACGTCTCTGAAGGTCGTTCTTATCTATCCGTCTTTTCGTTTCTCCAAAGTTTCCTGGCTGATTTTCTAAATAGGCATTTTAGCACAAATCCAATATCTGGTCCTTCAGACTGTATTTTTTTATTAAATTTATCTTTAACTTATACATAAAAGCATAAAATTGTATGTATTTATAGGGCACTGTGTGATTTGTCAATATGTCTAAAGATTGTGTGAGTGTAAATCAAGTTAAACATACCTGTTTCCTTGTTTATCATGTCTTTATGTTAAAACCGTTTAGAATCCTTCCTTCGGGCTTTCGAAAGCGCGTTCCCTGTAGTCACCCTACCGTGCAGTAGCACACGGAGCCCTTTACCCCTATCTGTCTGTGCCTGGGACTCATCAGGCACCCAGGCTGTGTTGCAGAGTTCAGGAATTCTTGCAGTCAATACACAATCTTGAAAAATTAAAGCTGCTTTATTTCCTCCCCCTCATTGTGAAAGTCACCTGTGATCACTACCAAAGGAAACCTTTTGTCCTGTTTGGTTCCGTCGAAACAGCCGAAGCACGCTGCAGGTCGAAATCAGATCACAGCAGTGCGGCACAGGGCGATTTGAGCTGCTCCTGGCTGTGTACGCTATTTTCGTCTGTCCGTTTGGTACCACTGAGTCCACAGACCAAGCAGAGGCCCCCTGACAGCCCCAAATAGTGAAAACAACAGGTGACCAGGGCAGGAAGAGGTGACACAATTCTTGACGAGATTGACAGGAGGTCACAGTTTTCAAGGGGACATGGTCCTTCTCATTCGCTCCTTACAATGCCTGTCTCACGTTCTCCCTCTTGAGTCATTGTACTCGATGTGGGCAGAGAAGAGGGGAGAAAGACGAGGGAGAGCAGGCTGTGAGGTTCATTTCTAAAGGTGGTCTTCGGACTCTGCACTGGGAAAGCTGCGGCCTCACCGGCAAAGTGGAAAATATGCAAAGTGCCCTTAGGAAGATAGGATGGATATGCATGAGGCATACGAAATGCCTTGAATATGATTAACTCCCCTGCCTAAGTAGTAAATAGTAGATAACTCTGATCAGAGAAGGGATTCGTGTGATTTATCAAGCTGAGCGACTGTGCATTTGCAGAGAAGCTGGAGGTCAATCTTGAAATCTAGGGCCAGAGGAGCACGAGGAAATTGCCAGAACTAAGAAGTTAATCATACCCCGGGACTGCTTCCATCTGTCTCAGGGCGACAGAGCCGCTGCACAGCGTGCGGGCATGCTTTATAGCAGCAGATCAGGAATTAATATTTTCTGCAAAACCTCAAGCATCATTTGCAGTAACTTGGGTTTTACAAAAATGGAGCATAATTTCGTATGAATAAATCACATTCAGCTAGAAATATGAGACACTGCGAAAAAATTGTGCTTGACTTAAAAAAAAAGAAAGGAGCAAGAAAGACAACGTGAACACAGTTGTTAAGCGGTGGTACTTGGAGGGCAAGGACGGCCGTGTGGTTAAATTGTGCATATAATCATCTTCTGAAATGTCAGCTCGCAGCCCCGATGATGGCTGCATTTTTATAGCCTTGGCGATGCAACAGCAGACTGTAACCTGTCTGCCCATCTGGCAATATCTCAGCTCCAAGATCCATTTATACTGAAGTCCAAACAACTGCCATGGATGTACTCATTTATTCCACAGACATTTACTGAGAGCATCCAATGTGCTGGGGGGGGGGCGCTGTGCTAGGGCAGGGGGGTACCAGGGAGGAGACGTGCCTGGTCTTCTGGTCTCCCTGGCCCGAGGGACGCTGCCTTTGCAAGGAGAGGGTCTTCTTTAGGTTCATGTATTTCTGCTTTCTCTTTTGCCCTTTTTAAAAATAAATCTCACACTCCAACTCTTGTTTCCAATTAGAAAGAATATTGTGAAATTAAGTAACTGAGACAAGATCTAAAATTAAGAGATTTTCACCTCCACGGAGCTGGGAGAATATAAAATGGTCTGTACCCAGAAGCAGTACTGGAAATGGTCCCAGAGCAAAGTGGGGAGGGTGGGGTTGGTACCTGCCTGGCACAGTGGAGGCTTTGCATTTAATTTCATCATCCTGACCTATGGTGGACCAACTCCACCACAGCAAAGGGATGGTGTTGGGGTACACTTTTACCCAGCCCTGATGTGTGAGCAGAAAGCGCCAGTTACCATGTCCTACTAATAGTTGGTCGCTTCTGTAGGGATCAAAAAAAAAACAAACAAAAAAAAAGAGGGCTTAAAGTAAGGGACACCCTACAGCCACATCTTTATGGTACCCTTGTGAGCAACACGCTTTTAAGGAGCTTTAAAGCTTAGAACTGCTGTCCCATTCAGTTGTTTTACTTTGGCTTTGTTCTGCTTTGTTTTTTGAGATATTGGGGATTGAGCTACGTCCCCAGGCCTTTTAAAAATGTATTCTTTATTTTGGGACAAGGTCTCAGTAAGTCACTTCATTGCCCAGGTCACACTTGAACTTGTGATCTTCCTGCCTCTGCTTCCCAGAGTGCAGGGGTTACAAGCATGTACCACCACAACCGGCTACTGTCTTGTTTTATTCTCCTCACAGTGACCCTGAGAGACAGATAGGATGCATTTTACAGGAAAGAAAACTGAGTCTTGGACGGATGGCCAAGCTGTAACTCGACCCCTGGTCTTCTGACTCCCACTTAATAGAATCTGTCCTCCTTCTCCTCCTCCTCCTCCTCCTCCTCCTCCTCCTCTTCCTCCTCCTCTTCCCCGCCCACTTCCTCCTCCTTCTTCTCTTCCTCCACACAGGCTTGGCTGTGGTCAGAGACAGGTGGTGTGGGTCACCTTGTACATCTGTGCTTATACTTGTTTCTGGCCTCTGTCCCTAGCGCCTCCCACAGTACCTGGCCATTAGGAAATGCAATAACCCATCTGATCAATGAAATAAAGCAGCAAACACGAAGGAAGGAAGGAAGCCCATGCTTTGTGAAGGCAACTTAAATGAAGGCAACTCCAGACTTACAGTAGAAAGCAATTTTCTAAAACTTGTCCTCCACCATCACAACAGACTGCCTCAAGACGGACAGGTGACCAGCAGGGGCTAATTGTGAGGGTGACAGTGACAGTTAAAGTCTCCACGCCAGAGCGTCTGTGCCTGCTTATAAAGATCTTGTAGGATGGAGAGACACTGTCAGCTGCTGTGCAGGTAGAGAGAAATTAAATACTAGTCCAAGAGTAGGAAGACCCAAAAGCTTCAAATAGCAAAACCACCCAGTGCAATTAAATTAGAGTGGAATTAAATCAGAAATCAGTAACAGAAAGAGAGCAATACCGTGCTATGATAAGGCTGCTTCCACGTAGGGGTTAGAACAGAGGATTTTTGGCTCCTTGTCCTTCTCTTCCCCCGCTTCACTTCTGGGCTGTATACTGTGATGAGATTTAAAATGCTCTCGCCAGTTATTCATCCTTCTCCCTCCCCCATTCATTTAGGGACTATCTACAGTCCTGAGTCATCGTTCCAGGGCCTGTGGAAGACTCCAGAATTCACCGCCCCCGCTCCTCCCCCTGAGGAGTTTACAGTTCGGTAGAGGAAAATGTAGGCATGTGAATGGAAACCGTGGATAGTAAAACGTCACCGTACACATAAGTAGTCACAGATCCTGTAAACAGTCACACGTGCACACTGGGCACCTCGCGTGCATTACTTCATTTCATCTTCTCAACAGTGCCTCCGCAGCAAAGGAAGAGGTCAGCCTTAAGGCCTCAAAGAGACAGTATTGTCAAGAAATGCAATTCCATTTCCCCTCATGCTCTCCGGAAAACTCCAGTGAGCAGGGTGTCCAGGTGCAGGTAAAACACCGGAGGGCTCTCAGAGCCCAGAGGAAGGTGCCTGGAGGGGACGTGTTAAGTAACTTGTGGAGTACGTGGCCTCCGTGACCCAGGAAGGGAGAGCGGCAGAGGACACGGGAGCAGCCTGAGCGGGGCTGGGCTGCAGGGCGGCGCTCAGGCATCGCAGGCGCCACCTGCCGGGGATGGTGTCCGTGCATCTGAAAGGAAACGCCAGAGCTGGCTTCCTCCAAGCACGGGACCCATGGGGAAACCTTAAATCGCCCCGGCGCGGCTCCCATTCCATCAGTGCCTCGTGCGATGCCGCGTCCGTCCCCTGCTGCCTTGCGGTCCTCATGGCTGGTCCAGCAAGCCCTGGAGAGAGGGAAGCACATCTTGAATAGCAGGCCATGCTTTACACAAAGTCGCAGCTCAGTCCTGTGGTACTGCGTGCCTTGTAAACAAGACCGGCCAGGGGTGCAGACTACGCCACTCAACTCTGCCCTCCTCATAGGGAAACGGAGGGAAAAAAAGCCCTCTGACCCACTTGCCCTTAATCTCTCCTCTTTTTTTAAGACACCATGGGGCAAATGGGCTTTGCTTTGGGTCTTTGAACTTGAGGTGGAATTGGCTTTGGGGAATTGGCTTCAAATGCTCACCTGTATTTGCACAGGTGAATCTGAATTTTCTCTGCTGCATAAATAGGGTGATGATAACCCCCTCCCTGGTAGGGTCAGGGCCAGATCAAATGACGTGATGCGATGTTTGAGATCTGGAGTGTCCCCCCAAATTCTCCTGTGTTCACAGAGGAGACTTTCAGACAGGGATTGGTCATGAGGGCGCTGTACTCCTCCGTGAATTAATCCTCTGATGAATCCGCAGTTCACCGTGCTGTTAGGAGGGAGGGTCCGGTTGGGTTAAGAGGGTTCATCTCACTCCTGGGCTCCTCCCTGCTCTCTGCTCCCTGGCCACCATGCCATGAGCAGCTCTCCCCCGCTATGCCCCTCTGCCATGCCTTTTTCTGCCCTGGAGCCAGCCAACCACAGAGGGTAGCTATGAACATCTCCTCCTTCCATTTGTGGATATAAGGTATTGTGTCTCAGTGATGAGGAATGTGACTTAGGTGAGTGATTAATAGAAAATGTGCTTTGGTAGTCCTTTCCAGTGATAGTGATTACTCCAGTGTACTCTAAGAAATACTTCTCATCTAGACACCAGAGGTGCTCTTTGATTTAAGCCCTCCCGTAGGCCCTGAAACCAAGAGCTAAACAGTAGAATATGCTCTTCATATGAAGTAACTGACAGTGTGGGCATATTTTTAAATCTCTATTCTAGGAAAACAAATGTCAACAAATCCCAAGAAATATCTCTTTCCCTTTCTCCCTCCTCCCTGTGCACCTGTTCTAAGCTGGCCTGTCCTGGAGAGGGCCTGAGGTGAAGGTCACCAGTGTCTCTGCATCTGGCCCAGCACGTTTCTGGCAGCCACTTCTTACTTCACCAGTGTGGGAGAGATCTCCCTGATGCTCTCCAGCTGAGCTCCAAAGACTTGGTCTCATTTCATTATTGCAAAGCAACTGATACTTACTGATCCTTGCAAAAGCAAGCAGTGATTCTCAGGTATCATGGGGGAACCTGAGCCTAACACTGTCCAGCCGTGGGAAGAGCAGGAAGTGCTGAGTTGTTCGTTCCGCAGAGCGCTGTCCTCTCTAACCGGGCTGTGTGACATCTAGGCACGTTCATGAAGCAGAGGCCCTCAGCTTCTCCTGCAGGGAAGCCGCACAGGTGTCTCTCACAGCCTTGCGTGGCTCTCAGCCCCGTCAGCCGCATTAACACTGTGTTCGCAGCACGGGCTGATGGGCCTAAAACTCAGCTCTTAAAGAGCCCCCTTAGTACTAATTTCCACAGTAAAACAGAATGGCTCCAGAGAAGCCATTGAGTCCTATCAGGTAAATAATAATACATTTTTAAAGGTCCCAAACATGTATTTTGCACGACAGAAAAGAGCAGCCCGGAAGAAGTTAAAGTCTTTTGAGTAAATAAATAAGGAGTTGTATAAGCCACTAATTACCCTTTAAAATGGTTTAGTGGGTTTGGGAATGCTTGAGGATTAGTATGGACTTGCTGCCTGGTGTCTGGCCAAGGGGGCGGTGGCAGGAGGGGCCCCTGGGGGAAAGCGAGCGTTACTGCTTTTAGTTAATACCCGCTACAGCCAGGGACCTGTAGGAGCAGATGGGTGATGTGAGCTCGCACCTACTTGGGAGAGTTTTGACCTCTTTAGAAAAGAATGTTACTGGGAATGACACTGGACTAATGTGAATATGCTGAATGCCACTGAATTGTGTGCTTAAAAGTGGCTAAAAGAGGTGATACTTATTTTCTCATAATGAAAACAGTATAGGAAAGAAAGAAATATCTTACTCACTTGCCTTGTTGCTGAGACACAAGATGCAACACACACACAGCTTAAAAAGAAAGAGGGGTTTTCTTGGTTCACGATTTCAGAGGTCTTAGTTCTGAGGCAGAGATGGTGCAGCGGAGGAAACCTGCCCCCCTCACGGCGACCAGGAAGCAGAGACAGGAGGGTGGAGCTGGGAGGGAGATGCACCCTGCAGGACGCAGTGCCAGTGCCCCCCTTCCAACCAGGCCCACTTCCTAACGGTTCGTTCAGCTCTGAACCCTTCTGTGGGTGAATCCACTGATGCATGTAGCGCCCCCCGGTCCAGTCACCATCCAAAGCCAAACCTCTGAACACAGAGACTTGTAGAGGACGTCCTAGTCTAAACCATAATACAGCACAAGCAGAAAATTCCACACCATGAAACTTCATGCAAGACATTATTAGAAGTGTGGTGTAACACTACCTTCAGGCTACGTGTGTAAGGTGTATGTGTATAAGGTGTCTATGTGTATAAGGTATCTGTGTGTATAAGGTATCTATGAAACATAAATGAATTCTATGTTTCAAGTTGGTTCCTCTCCCCAGGATATCTCATTATGTATATGCATGTATTCCAAAATTCGGAGAAAAAAGTCCAAAATCTGGAATAGTTCCGGTCCCAAGCACTTTGGATACGACAGCCTCAACCCACAGCAGTAGTCCAAGTTCATCAGCGTGGACCCTTTCCCCTAGGTCTGGAGTGAGAAGCCCGTGTTCTCACTAATCTTTCACAGGTTCTAGCCTGGACATTTCTCCCTTCCTCGGGAGTGGAGGAAGTGCCTCTGGCCCCCTGTGATGCGGACAGCTGGATAGAGCCCAGCTTGTCCCCTCTCCCGCTCTATGCCCAAGATGTGACTATAGAGGAACAGAGCTAATCAGCTCCTCTGGGCTCACCGGGCTCGTGGCAGTCTGTGAACTCCAGAAAGGGGCCAGAGGGAACCAGACTTCATGGACCAGTGACAGAACAATTAGGACTGTACTTTAAATTACAATTCTGACCTATTTGTATCTCCTACTGTGTTCCCTCTTCTGAATTCGTTCTTTCAGATTAAGCCGATAAATTTTCCAAAGGTGAAATATTTAAATCACAGGTCTATAAATCACTTTTTTTACTTAGTCTGTATCGCTGTGTCCTCTGTCTTTAAATGCCTAGGAGGCTGCCCCTTTTAGACCAAGGACAGTGGTGCTCTGTATGCCTAATGTTTGTGTTCATTTAATTAATTTATATCCCCTTAATTTTTATGTGCCTAATACACATGACATCTCAAGGTCAGAGTTGAGAGCGGACTATTATGTAATTAGCGTCATTTTTAATATTTGTCACTACTACCACCCTGTACATTTTTTTACAAATAGATGTTTCTGTAGTTACACCTATACCTTGTTATAAAACTCCTTTGGTTAGATTAAAGACTTCCTGGCCTGCACAGAGCATACTGGTGATGGTAATTACAGCCAGTTCTTCAGGAATGTTTAAACTGGTGATGTGTAACAATACAACCTGTAATCCCCTCATCTCTCTTAAATTATGTACGTATGGCCATCATGCTTGTAGACCCAGATCTTTTGGACTGAACTGAACCTAAGGGAGACCCAGGGACCCCAAATAATACATTGACAGGAGAAAAAAGAAGATTCAAACAAGACGCATCTTCAGTGGCCACGAGTATTTCTGAGCACTCGATGTCCTGTCTCTAGCCAGCTCTCCCTTCTGTGTGCCTTGCAAATGGAGGCCCAGCTGGAGAAACATTTGTGGGTGGTTGAAAGCCAACAGATAGACTGGGGTTTTCTTTTCCTTTGTTTTGTTTTGTTTAAAACCAAACTAGTTAGCTGCTTTTAATGGGAATTTACTTAAACTGTGATACCAATTCATTTTGTTTCATTTTAAATTCCCGTGTTGGAAAAAACTCACTGAAGCCCAGGGGATTGTCCTTCTCTGGCATGAAGACCCTGGCAGTGCAGAACTCCCTGCCAGCCCTCCCCTGGGACGGTCCCACCCAGGCCCTTTGGCTCTCTGGACTTGGACTTGCAGAGCCAGCCGGTGCTGCCCGACCAGCTGCTAACTCTGGGCTCAGGGCCTTGCTCCCCAGGCAACCTCCCCTCACCGCCCTCCCAGCCGCCAGCAGCGAGCTGGGCTGGCTGCCTTTTGCAGACTGCATCTCAAGCCAGATGAGCCCCTCTGCTGCTGCGGGAAGGTTAATGTGCTCCTGCTAACCGGAGCAGCCTGCCCTTCCTGAGCATCCAACATGCTGCCCTGCGCTGGCTGGCGGCCTGCAGAATGCAGCCACCTCTGCCTGCGCCCCTGCCACAGGCTCCCCAGGACCGGGCGTCTGATCCGCCCAATTCCTAGTGGATTTCTCAGCCCTGCTCCCTCCTGTAATTCTCCTTGGCTTTTCGCACTGGCTTCTCCTCCTGAGAAGCAGCGCCCAGCGTGACGCTGCTCATAAGTTCAATGTTTTGCAATAGGGAAGAGGAACCAAGAGTTGGAGGCAGGACGGAGGAAGGGAAGTGCGCGAGAAGGGGATGCAAAAAGAACTGAGATGTGTTAAGTACAGTGCCAGCTCCCCACAGGAATGGAACCATGATAGCTGCAAACATGCACTCATAAAAGTACAAAGTTTTAAAAACGCTAAAACAGGCCAAATACTTGCTCACCCGCCCTCATCTGGCTGGCTGGACAGGGCTGCATGCAGCCCGGCCTGGGCTGAGCACCCAGGCCCTGGCAGCTCCTCACTCGGCCTCCAGATGGTTCTGTCTGCACTGCCCGCAGCCAGGGAGGCAGGGCGCCACTTCAGCCCACAGATCCGCATCTTCAGACGGAGACAGAAGGGCCTGGCCAGCCCCCTGATCCCGGTGCTGGGAAGAGCTGAGGAAAATAACTGGCGTGCATTGTCTCGGGCATCTGCAGAGCAGGGCCAGCCACTCCCCAGGCATGCCAGCCGTCTCCCTGTGTTCTGCACCGGAAGCAGATGACACAGTGTCTGAAGAGCACAGCGGCAGGGTTCAGGCTGATTTATATGCTGAGGGAGGAGAGCCGAGGCGGCAGGGATGCCTAAGACTTCCATTTCCTGAAGGTCTGTTTCCTTCTTCCCGATTGCGGAGCTGGTGCCTGCTCGCTGGCCTTTGGGACTGAGGGTCCAGCTTTGCTCCCATCTCTACAGCAGTTCTGTGCCCCACGGTCTTCAAAATGTGAACCTCAACCCTGCCTTGTGGCCGTGGCCTCAGCCACCCGTCTGCCCCGGTTTTTTGCCTCAGTGGAGACCACACAAGTCCCTGGACATCAGGAGACTGAACAGCAGGTCCCCTCAAGGCCCAGCTCTGTCACAGACCCATTTGTGACACACCTGCTGCCTCTCCTACCTGAGAGGCCTCTCCTCCTGTGACCCCCGTCCCCTCCTGCCCTCCACTTCCCCGGCCAACTCTTGCGCATCCTTCAGGCCACAGCTGTCCCCAGTAGTCCCTATCCCTTTTCCCTGGGTCCCCTCGGGCCCCTCCAGTGCCTCTGGGTGGCACATAGACACACTCACCAGCCCTTATCTGGCCAACTGGATGGGGTGCCATGAAGCCCAGCCCGGTCTGAGCCTCCAGAACACAGACACACTAGCTTTGTTTCTGTCTTTTCTCGTCTGTCAGAAGGGAAGAATAATATCCACCTCCACCCGCCTTGCTGCTACATTGTCAGACCCTAGGAGACTACTGTGGGGAAAGAGCGGTGTAAAACAAAGAGCTCATTACAAATAGTGTGTTTCTGGGTAGCGCCGCTGCTGCCTAGAAATGCTGCTGGAGTAGGTGCTAGCCGTGGTGACAGAAGGTTCCCTTTTGACCCTTAATTCTTTTTTACCCCCCACCTAGGGACACAGGTGACTTTTCATCCAACTGTAGTTAATGAGATGAGGTCCACAGTTGCAAGGTTAGAGAATATTAAAGTATCACAGCAATTACAGAAGTGGTGATTTTCCTCCAAAAGTATTGCAATTACCTGAGATTCTGACTTACTTAAAATCCACAGAGAATTCTCTTGAGCTTCTAAAACTGTCCCCATTTGGGATGGTGGCCCATGCCTGTAATGCCAGCACTTGGGAGGCTGAGGCAGGAGGATCGCCATGAGTTCAAGGCCAGCCTGGGCTACACAGTACCACCTTGTCTCAAAAGAACCAAAAAATATCCCCAGCTTGGCCGCCTGGAGCTTGTTTGAGAATAGTTCGAGGAGGAAAAGGAAGAGCTTTCTATTAGTGAGCAAGTGGGGGCATTGAGGCAGACAAGGAGCTGCGTGGACCTGCACCCCTGAGAAGACTTCCATGTGGCTCTCTCACAAAGCCCAGCCGTGGGGGTCACTATGGACCATGCCTCCTTGTACCTCCTAACACACAGTGGTTACTTTAATTAGTCGCTAACCTTTCTGTGTTCACCTCCCCTGTGCCAGCTGCACATCGTGTTTCCTGATCAGATCTGATGTGACCTTCACCTTGGGCAAGGAGCACACTGATAATGATCATCCACCCAACACCGGAACCCTGATAGAGCAGGGCTCCTGAAAGAAATGAGGGTCTTCCCAGGCAACCCTCTCTCGGATGGTCTCATTTCAGAGCTGTCAGGCTACTTGTGCCCATGAGCAGCCTCCAAAAGGGAATTAGTAGGGAAACTTGCGCTCACAGTCAGTGCCTCACCTGCATCCGTTAGGAGCAGAAGGTTCGTGCGCCCTTCTTCCCCCATATTCTTGCACTGAAGCCCTGATCCACAGTGACGGGGCCTTCGGGCAGTCATTGGATTTAGATATGTTCATAAAAGAGAAGACCCCATAATGAGATTAGCATCTGTTAAGGCTTGTGTCTGGATGTCCCCCCAAAGCTTCATGCAGTCATAGGCGGGGCTTTTTCAGAGGTGGCTGAATCTAGAGTGTGTGACACTGGGATTGATTCATGGTGCAATGCTAGGATCAAGGACACTAGGATTAAGGGTGTGAGTGCCACCCCCACTAAGTAGCCTGGGTAAGATATAAGGGGTGGAAAGAGCCATGGTCACCCCTTGTTGGTTTGCTACCTTCTGCCCACCATGAACTGTTCCCCTCTCTGATGCCCCTCTACCGTGCCACCCTGCCTTGGAGCCCGCCAATTGTGGACTGTAATTCTCCAAACGGTGAGCCAAATAAAGCTTTCCTCCTTTAATCTTGAGTGTCAGGTACTTTGCTTCATCAGTGAGAAAAGTAACTAAGAGAGCATCCTTGTAAGAAGAGGAAGAGAGACCAGAGTGCTCTCTGAGCATGCATGAAGAAGAGAACATGTAAGCTCTTGGCATCGGCCAGTGGCCATCTTTGTGCTAGGGGAATGTTTCTCACAAAGACCAAACGTGCTGCCTCCTAGGTCTTGGATGTCCTAGCCTTCAGAGCTATGAGAAATGCAATATCTGCTGTTTACGCAGCGTGCAGGATCTTGTGTACAACCTGAGCAGGCTGGCAAGCTCCCTCCAGGGAAATAGGGAGGGCACTGGCAGGGTCTAAGGGCTGGAGATGTAGCTTAAGGGTACAGCACTTGCCGAGCATGCATAAGGCCCTGGATGCAATCCCCACTGGCAGAAAAATAAAATGAATAGCATGGTTTAAAATGGAGAAAATGCCTTCCAGAGAATTCTCTACCTTTGATGTTGTATCTGCATAAAACTAAGGCAATAATACGAGCTTGGGAAAGAAACTCTAGAGTTGCATCAGTAAAATGCCATGAAAACAAGCTTATCCCTGTTGAACTCCAAGATCATTACCAAGTATGTTCTATTAAATATATTAACATCTTCCACCATTGGGGTTTTTTTAACCAGATACAACAGAACGCAACTTCTGGTGATAGCATTCAGCAAGTTCCCGTGCACTGAAGTCCCGCAGAAACTGTTCTCCACCCTGGCGCTGCAACGCAGATGGCCCATTTCTTTCCGCAGAGATTCTAGCCTCTTTGTACAGCCACTTTAGCATTCAAAATTAGCTGGAGGGTGTTTCAGTCACTGAGATGTAAACATGCTTTATTTCACTGGAAAAGTGGTTACATGAAGCGTGCTTTTCATCCCTTACAACTCACGCTAAAGTTCTAGAGGGAAATATTTCAACCCTGAAGTTTGTGGCTTTGGAATAGACTCGGAGGATATTGCACCACCCCTTTACCTTTATCTTGGCTGTTCAGTCATCACAATGTCTGTTGTGTTGCATTGCTTTTGAAGTACACCTCAGGCAACTTGAAATAGGAATTCCCAGTTACCAAACTTCCCAAGATGGGATGAATTGTCATTAATCATCTCACCTGTCATTGCACCTAGGACCCTGTCATGCAACCCAAAAGACATTTTGCAAATATTCAAGCCAGAAATTTGCTCATTATTTAGTGGTGATGATGTTTGTGGGTGTCATTTGTCCTCCATAAGCCATTCATCTGCATGTACCCCTCCACTTAGCACTGTATGTGCTCAGCCCCACAGGCTCTTCCGTCAGATGAATAAGAAGGTCACAAGCCTGAGATTGCCAGGTTTAGCAAACAGAAGTCCAGGAACAATGAATAATTCATGATATAAGCATGCCCCTAATATTGCCGATTATTCATCATCTGAAATTCTCATCTCTCTGGGTGCCCTGTATGTTATCTGGCAACCCTATTTTCGTTCAAAGACCATTAAGAAGAAAACATCCTGTAAGGATGTTTGGTCTTTGTTGGAAATTCGAAATGTCAAGATCTTGAAGGACCGTCTGTGTACAGACGATGAAGGCAACTTACATCAGAATCCTGTCTTGCTGTTCCAGAGAGCTTCCTTGAAAACTAATTTTCTCTTTCCAAACAATAAAATAGAGGTTGGAGGTGTAGCTCAGCTGTAGAGCATGTGCTTGGTACGCGTGAGGCCCCCAGTTCAGTCCCCATCACCAAAGCACAAATACACAAAAGCACCAGAATAAGCACTGGGCTTTCATCAGAAGCAGCGCTTGTTTATTCGACTTCCCACGCGAGTGTGTGTCCCTGTGCATGTGCCGAGGGTGCTGTATTCGCCGCAAGTGCTGGGCATGCAGCCATCTGCTGAACTTTCTGCCCTCCCACCCACACGCCCTGTGGGAACCATGAGCTCCCCACTGTCTGAAATCTGAGCTCCTGACCTGCAGTTTGACCTATGGGTGCTATTTCTAATTTGTGTCTTTGCAGAGTTATTTGTGCAAAAGAACTGTCTGTTTTGATTAAGTAGAAACCACTGAGAATTCCAAGTCTGCTTCTAAGCCTGTGGTGAAACTAAAAAGAGTTTTTTATTGACCTCTTTTGACAGCAGGTGGTGGGCCGGGGTCTCACCCACCGGCATGTGGCCCTCGAGTGGCAAGGTTTTCATTAGCCAGACTGTGCGTGGGTGACACTTCCCTTCAAACTCTCTTTCTTAAGCACTATTAACTCCCTTGGTTATCACTTCATATTAATTATTCATTGACTAACTTTATTTCAGCAGTAATTAATGGGGTAAGTTACACAATGGAAATGGTAGTAAATATTATAAAAGCAATTACTGAAGTGGTAATTTTCATTCAAAATTGTTTTAATTACATGGGACTCTGACTTGTTTAAAATCCTGTCTCCACAGAGCTCCCAAAGCTGTCACCTAGGAGGTAACCTGGAGATAGGCTGGGAAATGTTCCTTCACCTTTACATGAGTGAGCAAGGAGGGCTATTCAGACGAGGAGCCAGCGGTTTAGAGGCAGGACCCGGGCCCCTGGAGGGCTGCAGTCCCTGCAGACTGAGTGATTGCCTGTGCAAGGGGCATTTTCTTCTAGAAGGCAAAGGTAGCTGCAAGCAGGACCAGCCAGCTGTGTCATCTAGCAGGGCCGGTGCTCAGATGGCCTCCACCCTGACTGGATGCTCTGTGGTTGCCATCTTGCAATTCTTGATAATTTTGTCTTTGAGTTTGTGTTTTATAAGTGAGGTCCCAAAGGACCATGGAGGATATGTCCGGGTACGGAACATCTGCTCACGTGGGGACCCTCTCAGCTGCCAGCTCCTCGGCCCAAGGCCTTGGCTTCACCCAGCCTTCCCTTTTCCACCACCATCTGCCCGTCCAGCAGGGCATGGATTCATGCCATGTAGGGGTGGGCATCTATGCCCAGGGCATAGCAATGGCAGTTTCCCCCAAGCTGGCCATACAGCAGCATATCCAGTAGGCAGCTGGGAGGGAGGGAGGAAGTCTCTCTGTACCCTGGCCCAGGACCCCAGAATGTCCCACTGCAAAGGTTCAGTACTTTAGGGTTTGCCTTTCCCTTGC